AAAAAAAGCAAGTACATTCATCATAAGAAACTTGACTAAACCTTCCATTTTTAATCATTATGTCCAGCTGCCCAAATCTCACTCAAGTAAATAGCTCCCTAAAATTCTTGAGCATTTCTATATTTAATACTTTGTAATTTGAAAGTTGTGTTTAAAACAGCTAATCCATTTCAATGTGCCAGCTTACTGAGGATAGCTGTATCTTTTGGAGTATCTAGTATATCCTAAATTCTTTGTACAGAAATCTTTTCTCTTGTCTTCCAGAGAGAGTCAGACAAGTAACAGAGAGACCATACATTCCTGATATAATTTGTCCAAAAGGTCCCTAATTAAAAATTTTGCCTATTCTATTAGACACAATTTTTGTGATCTGTAAGTTTCATAGCATTGATTTGCATCAATAATTGTGTGGGCTGATTTTAGACAAAGAACAAATTGTTTAAATTTCTAATTCAACTCTAACTGCAGCAGCTGAGGTCCTTTTATCCACACCGAAAATACTACTCAGATGCTATGATTTTGTTTGCTCTAGTAATGACTTGTGTTATAAGACCCAAACTTCATCTCCATATAAAAGCATAGGGGTAGTATTGACTCTGCATGCCTTAATAATTGGGGCTAAAGAATTTGAATCATAATGCTTTGTTATTTTTAACATTGAATTTCTATCTGCCCTTCTCAGGGTGAACTCCTTTGATGGTGAAGGAATCAAGATCCAGTCTCATAGGAGACTACATCTAGATAAGGAAAGATGTTGACTTGCTTAGTTGATTCACCATTTAATAGCCATCTATGGCTGAGATGGTGTTTTTTAAAAAAGATCTTTATTTTGATGTATTAATAATCAAAGAATTATTAGGGCAGTAGTAGCGAAATCCTAACAATGAATGCAACCCAAAATAGAATAGTAAAAATCATATTGTCAACACATAGCAACATATGTTGAATATCACAGTCATGTGTAGTTCAGAATCCTTCATCAGTCATGGTAAGTCGTTAACATATAGAGTGAATAGCAGTGGTGCAACTATGCACTCTTATTTTACCCCTTTGTGAGTAAGACAGTCAGTCCTCCTTGTCATGACTTCTTTAATCCTAAATAGAGTTTACAGTATACTCTTTGTATAAAGGACTTTGGTCAGTGCAAGCAGGCTGGGTTCTGTATTGAGGACAGTTAATTTTAATTTCCTCTATAATATTTTTCTGTTTACTCAAATGCTGAACTAAGGTTTATAAAGGCATCAATCAGCTGTGTCCCCTAACTGACATATTTAGTAATTAGATGGTTCAAGACAAAGCAATAGTGGATTGACTGTGCCTGAAACCAGCTTGTTCTTTTGCAAGAATGTGCAGTACTTGTCAGCCACCCAACTCTCAATTCTCCTCAAGAGGAACCTGGCATATATTTTAGCCACAATACCTACTAGATGCATGAGCCTGTAATTGCTAGGATCCTTTTTAGGAACTACAACTGCCATCTTCCCCTTGGCTGCGATACGGCAGGTGCTATTTATATATATAAATAAACTTACCAAGAGAGGGGCCCATGGTTGAGTATTTTTTGAACAGCTTGGCTGGTAGAAGGTCTTCAACAGGAGCTTTATTCATTGCTCTTCGTGCCTTTTGTAATAGATTTAATCTCATTTTCTAATATTGGTGGCCAGAGGGGTATAGTTTCAGTTGGTGGTAAATTGTTATTTAGTAACTGTTTCTCAACAGGTTCCAGAGAGCAAACAGGCGATGATAATAATTTTCCCAATCCTCAATTGTGATTGGTATATTGAATATGAATCTCCATTCTTTCAGGATCCCAGCTACAGAGTGCCAAAATATAGCTGAATTATGACTTCTTGCTGACAGCTCATGTCCTGATCAATTTGAAGCAGCATGGCTTCCCCCCCCCCCTTTGATTTAACAAGCTTTTTATATCCTCTTCTTAGAGACAGCATTCTAGCCTGTATATGTACAAAGGAATGCCTCGGAGCAAATCTCATCTGTGTCTTCAATTGCTTTTTCATCATTGTCAAACCAGGGAGATCTATCTATAAGGAAACTTTTGGAGGAGGGTTTGGTTAATAGATGTTCTTTCTCAACCTATGGAACAAATTTATGAATACATTGAAGACTGATTGCTTGTCAACCATGAGTGAATGGACTATTAAGACCCAACTGATAGCATTCTCTGATTTGAGACTATACAGCATTGTCTTGATAGACATTCTTTGGACCATATTAACCTTTTATTTTATTCTGATTCACCTCTCAGTAAGTTATAACCCATGTTATATGAGTTTAAGTCCATCAGACTAGGAAGTTCACACTCACTGGCTGGTGATCACTCTCTCTTGGATCGACAATGACCTCTGAGAACATTGGCTTTACTTTTTGATACACAAATTAAATCTAACACATTTGAGTGTAAGGTATACATAATTATTGTCCTTGCCTTCCAGAATTTGAAGATCACATTTAAAAATCAGCAATGTCAAGTTTAGATCAGCAGTATTATCTTTATCTCTTGAATGCCAATGATGATTATCAAAAAATGTATTTGGAAGTTCACTATATTGATTGTAATCATATCATGTAATAAAAGGATGTATTTGATGCAATATAAACATTTACCAGTACAAGCTCAAAATCTTTATATCTGAATTTCATGGCCAGTATATGAAGCCAATTATTCCTGTTATATGTTTTCTCACCCCGCTATTGCAATTCTTCCTTTGTAAGAATACATAATCCCCCTGAAGCTCTCCCTTTATACTTTAATTTTTGGGCAGAGGTGTACCAGCATTAAAAACCTGGAAGTTGTAATGAGTCACCCTCTCCTACTAAGCAGGTGTCTTGTAAAGCTATTTTCTCAAATTCAGAAAAGAACCTTACCAAATCAATTGATATTCTATACTAGAAACTATTCTAGAATTGTTTCAAATTCAAAGAAGTTCTATTTTGAGCTCAGAAATTAGGAATTTCATTTTGGACACCTTTCTGAAATGATAGGGACACAAATAGGACACTTCCAGGTAGAACATGTGTGTGGAAGTTGGTGTTAGAGAGCAGTTAAATTCTTTAGGTATTCTTGAAAAGTTCACCAATAAAATACATCAAATGACAACAAGGGCACGTTCTAGGTGAAATTCAGATGCCAAAATACAGTATATGTTAGCTAAATATTTCCTCCTTCAATATCTTTAAAGTCCAATTGAGAAAAGAAATGCAAAATAGCTAAATAGGTTTTCCAGAATCTGTAGCATTATACTTCAGAAGTGAGTAACTGAATAGAAAGGCTTTCTGGCAGAAGATGTCTAGCTACCACTGAAGAGAAAATGTTATACAGTATTGATCCTTGCTCTGAATGGGAAGCAAGGAGCCTTCCAATCTTAGACAAGTAAACAGTTCTCTGGGATATGCTGAATTAAAAATGATTAGTATATTAGTATATTTGGCTTAGTAGGAGTCTGGGTGCTTCTGTGATCTCATGGGCATTATTTTACCTGGACTGTGTGTTAGTAATTCTTTTGGTGAGTTCTTATAAGCATATGATTATGTCAGCAATATCCAGCTTCTTTTGGTCTTTAATTCTAAGAAGCTGGGGATATTTCTTAATAATCAGTGCAACTTCTCCTCCTTTTCCATTGTTCATGTTCTTTTTAAAGAAATGCTATCTTTTCATTGCTGTATTTCACTTATAGATTTCTTATTAGGTCTCAGTTAATAGCTATAGTCATAATCTGATTATAGAAAATGAAAGTAATGAAATTTAGGAGTAATGATCTTTCTGAATTTTTTTAACTGAGTTACTCTCTCACATCCTCATACTGGGCACAAATCATTTGTCATAAGTCACTTTGTTTATTGTAGGAAAAGAGAGGTAGAAAATTAATAAATCAATAAATTGGTTTATTACTTACATTAAGTCCTTCTGAGTTGCTATCTCCAATTAGCACAAAATTCAGCTGAAACACTTTTAATCAAGAAGAAATTTTTTGTCACAGTTTAGTCAGCAATGAAATGGTCTCATGGAATGGAATTTGAATTAAAAGTAGTTGAGAATCATTTTGTATGGTTTGCATTAATAGCCAGAAAGCTGTGTTTGTCTGGAACTACAGTTGATTTATTTATTAAAGATTGATTGGTTGAATTTATATTCTACTTCTCTATTCATATTGAATATTCAAGGAGCAACTAAAACACAATATTCAAAATTTAAAACAAATAATAGGAAAATATATTTAAGTGAGGTTTTTTTTTTAGTTTCCCAATTTATGCTCTGTTTTTTTCCCCTGTATTTATACGTTTCTATTGCAATGGACTCTGGCTAAACAGAAATACATATTGACTTAACAGTTAACAGAATATAGAGGTTTTTCATGTAAATTTGTTAAAAACATAAAGCATAAAAATATCTGCATCCTAGTGACTATATTACAAATAATAATTTACTGAGAAATTAAATTCAATAGAGTTGGCAAGAAATACATGTGACTCTGATCCTGATTATATGTCTTTTGATCTACATAGCCATAGATAGAATACACTGTTCTATTCTACTTCATTTTGAAGAGGTTTTAGGTGGATTTACTCTGCTTTATGTTTTCTCGTGCTCTTCATTTTGCTGGTTTATATTTTAAAGTTTAAAAAATTCAATCATGTTGTACTTATCTATGTTGAAAGGTGATTATATGAATGAATGAACCATAAATACAATGATGTAGAGCATATTGGTAGAAAAAAAATGGAAATTTCTGAATTAGATAGATAGACTTTCCTTTTGTACCCCCAAAATTTTATTTCTTATTACTCCTTGAAAAGTCTGGATTTTTAATTGAACACCTTCATAACAAATACTATATATTTTAACATATGACAGTAGCAGCCCTAATAGATATTCAGAAACAATTATAGCTGAGTCAATTTCCCAATATGCACACACATAATCATTTTCAAAATTGAAGAATGGATTTTCTGCTAATAAATATCACAATTTAATTTACTAGGTACGTAAAGAATATGGGAAATGTCTGCGTACACATTGTTGTAGTGGGAAAAGTACAGAGAACTCCATCGGCTCAGGAAAAACTTCTGGGTCACGAACTCCTGGACGGTACTCCACAGGATCACAGGTAAAAAGTATTTCTTAAGTTGAACAATTTGTTACTTTGCCCAAATAATTAACATTTCAGTCATAATTATTACAGTTCTTTTCAGCTCAGTTTCTATAGCAGTTTGCTTATACAATATAAAATGGGCTGACTGGAGTTTATAAAATATAAGATTTTCACTGCATGCCAGATTCTGCCCCAAATTCCTGTGTTTTGAGAAAAAAATTACTTAGCTGTTGTTATTAATTGGACTTGCATCCCATTGTTACTTTTGAAAAAAAAATGTGTTCAATATGGCTAACAGGAAAAAATACATAGAAAATATTATAAAAATGCAGTCTTAAAAGCATTGTCATCATGACTTATTCAGAACTTTGAAAAGCTCAAAATGAAAAGCTCATTTTGGGCAGGAGTCCCATTTTTTGTGTGCCTGTCATGCAGGCCTAGGCACAGGTCCCTCTAGTCCACTTCATTTCTCTTTGAGGGCCACATCACAGCACCTTTGATGATATACAATTATCTTTTTTCGTATATAATTTATTTCTAGAAACATTAACAAATCCTTGGAAGGAGACATAGACATAAGCAAGGAATAAGCAAGATACTTAGTCTTGGTCCCCTGATCCTGAGGGTCCTAAGCTTTTCCTTCAGGTGATTGCAGAGTTGTCTTACATGTCTTGGGGAAGACACGTGATGAGTATCTGTAAATGCTTTAGGCATTTACTAAAAAAAGGCTTACTGCAATTATTCATTATAGCTACAAGCAAATCATTGGATGTAAATATGAAAGCCACAGCTTGCAAAGGTACAGAAGGTCCTCCACTACTGCTCTGGCACTCAAAACTTTCATCATGTCTCCAAAATCCTCTGGAAATTATCATGCTTTGCCTCGTGCTTGTTCAATGTCAACCATTCAAAGTCACTAGCACTCAAGCAATATGAATGAATGAATAAATGAATGAATGAACGAACAAATGAACAAACAAATATAGATTGCTGTGACTTTGGGTTCTTCCACACAAATTGTTAACCATAGCTAGGCAATGCTTCATCAGTCTCATTGAGAGGCTTGAACAGATCGTATCAGTTTCATCTTGCCCTGTCTCAGCATGGAAGGCAGCTTGCAATTGAGCTTCCTTGTCTCATCTGCTTCATGTGTGATATTTTCCAACTTACACCTGCATTTAATTTTATTGGGGCAATGTGTGTCTACCTATTGGTCACTCTATGGAGATACTGGCACACACATATCTTTCTGTTCACTGGTCACAGTTTCAACAAGCATTCTGCATACAAAGAGAAGGGCAAGCACCTATAAATCCTGATTGGTTCATCCTTTCCTATCTGCATGTACAACAGGTATATCAATGGTTAAAGCAAGTGAGAGATGATCAGAAAGGACTGGACTTTTCACATACATACAGCACATCCTGAAACCAGTAAAAAGAAGACAGGCTAAAAAAAAAAAGATGTGTAAATATAGCAAATACTGGTAGAGATTCTTGGAAAAGCGACCTCTTTGGTAAGCCAGTCCCAAACAATGTAGGGCTTTAAAGGTGACAACCAGCACCTTAAATTGCATCCAGGAACATACCAGTAACCAATGCAGCTCATGCAGAAGTGGTATTGTGTGTTTTCTATCTGGCATTTTTCATTACTCACACAGCTTCATTCTGCCAGAGTTGAAGCTTTTGAATCTTCTTCAGGGGCAGCCCCATACAGAGCACATTTGCAGTATCTAAATGAGAGGTTAAAAGGGCTTGAGTTACTGTGAGCAGGGCCTCTAAGTCCAAGAACAGATGCAACTGGCATACCACTAAAGGTGTACAAAGTCTCTCTTAGCCATGGCCTGCCAACTGCAGGAGCCATGAGTCTAGAAGGAGCCTCAGATTGTGCACCAGGTCTACACTAACCCTATCCACAACTAAAGATGGAAAGTCCTTGTCTCCACAGGGTCCAAGAACCCATAGCAACTCTGCTTTGCTAGGATTGAGTTGGAGTCTGTTTTGTCTCATCCAGTCCCCCAAATATGCCACCATTATAGAAAGATGGGATACTTAATTTACTTTCTTTTTTGGGGAAGGGATTTGTTTATTAATATAAAATGGAGAAGATGGGGAAATCTGTTCCTGGCCAGTAGATGAGCACTGAATGACTGTGATGTGTCTTGCTTACCATGGTGGGCAGGAATGAAACTTTATCAACTGCTACCAGATCTGGCCAGATTAGCCGTAATAAAATATTTCTAGTGTCTTGATGAGTGAAATGGTATGAACAGTCCTGGTTCATTCATTCTAATTTTGAAATAAAGAAAAAATAATGGATAATGAAACAGTCTGTCATCTGGAAGTGTCCATAATTGTCTGGATGAACAGTGTTAGAGAAAGGGGAAAATTTGTTGTAAATAGGAAACACTCCCCCCCCTTCTCTCTCCCTCTCTCTCTCCCTCCCCCCCTCTCCCCTTCTCTTTTTGGTGTTTCTGCTTGGACACCTGAATAACCTGAATAGGATGCCTTCCCATAACCAGAAGTTATGTTTTATTCCATAGTCCAACTTCCAATGCTGTAGCCCCTTTTTTGTAATAGACCCATGAAGTTACTCACAATTTTCTGTGCCTTTCAGAGGCCTGATCTCAGATTATTGTCCATTATTCTCCCACTTGCTTCACAATAAATATCATGAAACAGTTCAGCCCTTTCTATGTTCCTTTCAAAGTCCCTCATTTCTTTCTTTGCCCATTATTAATCACCAACAGCTGCCTCAGACTTAACTTGTCCATCTCCTATATAATGTGCTTCCTGAAAAAACTAACATAGTGACATCACATTTTTTAAAAAAAGACAAAATACTGGTGCAATTTCCTATTATGAGCTTATCCTTTATAAAGGGCTCAACTACATCAGAATAGGTTGTACTGTTGGGAAGAGAGCTAAACGAAGAAAGAAAACTGAAGCCCTGAAGAGCTAGGAGAGAGCAGAAGCAGCAATGAAGGAGAGAGAGCGACACCAGAATGATAGCAGTGATCCAGGGACATCAGATGACCCCCAAGCTTCTAACAGAAGTTCACTCACTGGTAGTGAGCCAGAAAACAGCCCACAGCACTGGCATTGAAGAGCAATCCAAAGACTAGCTATTCCTTTGAGATTTCAAGAATGTATCTAAGGGCACAGCTTCAGGCCTAGAGCAGTTATTAGCAGCAGAAGAGAGTCTATGAAAAAATCCCAAATTCTATCAGACAGCAGGACCAAGTGCTCGATAGCTCTTTCTATCTCGTCCACACCATGTGATCTTGAAGCAGGTTTTCAGTGTGAAAAATATAAACAATGCAATAAGTATAGGACAGAAAGCATAGCATAAAATGTAAGTTATTGGTTAAGAGATAAAATAGGATCTTGGATTATAAGCGATAAGACTAGTGGCATAGTGATAGAATACATGAGTAGGTTAAACAACTGTAGGAAGAATGTTTTAGAACAAACGAGATTGAACACTCAGTTGTATAAAACTTTTTATAATAAAAAGACTGCCTTCTTCCCTGTCTGACTATGTCCCCATGCCCAAACTGGACCTATAACTCTTACCTTCTGCTGTTTAGCAAGTATTTGTCTGCCACGTTCTTTGGCTTGGTCTTCTCTCTTCTCCTGTAAACAAGGGCTCTTCCTTTATATAATCTTCCGATTGCAGAAAGGGGAAGGATATATTAAAGCTCTGGTCTGACTTCCCCCACAAAAATCATGGTACAGAGTGCTGAGAAATGCTTCGTGTTAGCTGCTTTACAGATGTTATATTCCCATCAAGAAAGACTTGGTGGGTCAACTTGTGCTCATAGGCACCACACCGGAGACTCATCTCTCCACTCTCCTGACCTTGATCATTCAACATTTAAGTTTTTAATTGGTAAAGTACAGAAACAGATTCAAGAAAGATGAGGGTTTTTGTTTTTTTTTGCAAATTTACTATTGCATTAAAATGCATAAGGAATTTTCTTTTCTTTTTTTATCTTTACTTAGGAAACAGCACTTGGGCATCTCTGGGGTGTGAAGGGGCTGATAAAACCCACTGCAAAAAAGCAACACAAACTACATGCATGCACTTGGTGTCATGACACAGGTCTTAAAGGGCAGTGTAGTGTCACAGTACTATGCCAGAATGCACACTTTGTTGCTTTGGCATTGAATCAGCTGGTTCCCCACTGATTAATAGAATGAACAAGGTTTAAAGTGTTGATTGGAACACATGAAATCCTAACAGCTCAGGATACTTTGAAGGGCATTGCTTCCACATGGTTCTCACTAGTTAGAGATTTGATATGCTGGCTGTCCAGGCAATGCCCTGAATACCAGGGACTGATGGGGGAGGCTGGAGGAAATGCTGTCAGTGGCCCTAAGAAAAACCAAAGCTGTCTTCAAGTCAGGTTCAACTCTGACAATAATAGGAAAGGCTTATAAAGTACCAATATTGATATTCATCAAGCATCGTTCTTTTTCTTTTAAATTTTCCAAGGCTTTTTCTAAGTAATTTGCACTCCTGCAAATGTGATTGGCTTTTGTAATGTTTTTAGCCAGATTGTTAGTCTGAATTAATTGTTCATTAAATAAATGGAAGTTCCTTGTTGTTAAAAATACAGAGTAGCCAATAATAATAAATATATAAAAAGCAAATGTTCTTTTCAAAAATGCTAAGAACAGATAAAACTGTCAAAAAGTGCTAATGTTATTCATATCCTTAACATCATTTAAAAGTCATTAATACCTTGTGAAAGTATTTTTGACCCAGAATTTCACAAGCAGAAGGATGGGGTTTGTGCTGGGAGATAAGCAGCAAAATTAGAAGAACTTAAACAGAATTTGCAAGCTAAAATGGTTAATTTTGGAACCCCATCTTTGCCATCTCAGTTTACAGATTTGGAAGGTTAGACAAAGCCATCTAGATCATTGTATATAAAAAATGATGTGCAAAATATTACCTGTTCACTGTGTTCTTTGTGTTCCACCCCTTTCCTTGCTTTACTTTTAACAAATCTTTATCAAAATTTGAAAAAAAAATATCTTGAAGTATGCTTGTGAGAGAAGGAAGCTCAAGTAGGGTGTGAATGAATCTTAACATGATTTTTCTAGCTCACACTAAGGAAGTAGCAGAGAAGTACTGAGAATTTTTAAGGCCCAGGCCTCTACCAAGAAAGAACCTCTAATATTTTATTTACTGCAATGCATTTTTTTAAGCATAACATCAGAACTGTTTCACAACTTTTCAAGTTTCTGAAGCAGTCAATAATGATATTCTTAATTTGGTTTGAAATTTCTGCAGTGGGAAAATAAGCTTTGTGTTGGATTACAATAGCAACATTTTACCTCTAGGAAATAATTGACATTTCTTTCTTGCACAGATTAATGAAATGGTTTGCAACAGTTAGTTACGGCATGCAGATTTATTATAGATCTATTTATGTAATTGACACCCTTTTCTCCAGAAGCAAAAGGCAACGTATGTGATATCCCACATCTTTTCCTTCAACATCCCTGTTAGGTAGATTGAGTTGAGATATATAGAGAGAGATAGATAATGATAGACAGACAGACAGACAGACAGACAGATATATGGCAGATAACTTGAATCAATTTTTTACCCTGTAATAACCCTCTATTTCCACACTCCTGAATTACTGAAATTATATTAATATCGATTCTTAATAGAAAAAGACAAAAAAATCTCTATATGTAGAGATTATAACTATAAACATTTTTATAAATAAATAAATAATCACCTCTGACATTGATATTTTACTAAATTGTATAATGTATAATAATTTTTAGCAGTTATGCTGATCTCATTTTACTCTTGTGCATGAACAATATTTTTTAAATTTGTTTTGCTACTATCCAACATCTTGTGGAACCTTGGAAACATGTTTTTGTTGTGGTGACACCTGTCTTCTGGAATCTCTCTCTCTCTCTCTCTCTCTCTCACACACACACACACACACACACACACACACACACATCCAGATGACCCCACCCTGAAAACTTGGCTGCTCTTCCAGACTTTGGGGCAAGATGGTAGTTGAACCACTTTTATATGGGGGTACTTGTCTTCAGCTACTTGTGATTGCTTTGTGAAGTTTTTTTCCCTTTATTTTTTTTAAATACTAGAACATAAAAAATATAATTACTGTAGAGGAAAGCTAGAATTTAAATTTAAATTAAATTCAGGTTTCTCACCAGGTATACATCTTACCTTTGTTTGAAGGGTGGAATAAAAAGTTGTCCTTTGAGTTCAGCTTGAGAATTATTATTTTATTTTACTGAAATTGTTTACATGTATATATGCATTATATTTCATTAACAGAATTTAATGCCAAAAAGGTATATGGTAAATGCTGAAACTTATTGCAAGTGAATTATTAATGTAGCTAGTGAAAAATATAATCTAAATTACTGCATTAATTTTCTCTCAGACTAATTTAGACATAGAGCATCAGGTATGCCATATTTCTCCTCCTCGATACATTTCTAGACTTGGGAATTTGAACATACATTTCAATTTATATATCAATTTATGAAACATTTACAAGCACCTCTCTCAGATACTTGCATACAAAAATATTACCTACTTCCCTAGTAACAGTCTGAACATTGGAGAGGTAGAATGAGTATTATGTTTTCATGACATTAACTAAGTAGGAAACTCTTTTGTTTTTATTTACTTAACTGATTTTTTATTCAGGAGCTCAAGGCACCACAAATAGCATTTCTCCTCCTCTTATCTTTTCCCACAACAATGACTTGTGCAATTGGACTAAGAGAGATGGACCAACATTAACTCAGCCAGGAATGTTCTGTGGCTAAGGGTATACTGAAGGCAACATCTTAACTACTCTGCAGCACTGGCACTTGTACTGCTTGCAAGTTTCCAATTTGGAAAAAAATAGTGGATTAGATGGATTTGTTCGTATTTCGGCATAGCTTTGGATAGCTTTCTGGCTTGAAATCTATTTTATTACTTTTTACCTTGTTTAAGGTACAAAAAAAGAGAAGGATTCATGAAGTTGTGTTATTATTAGAGTGAGGGGAGCTGAAAATGATAAACCTATTTTTGCATTTTTGATGAATTCTAAGAAGTGGAAATTGTCTTGAACTTTAACATAACATTCTTGAATAGGAACAAGTGACTCCTCCCCCCCCCCGTTCCAGGGTAGAAGGTGTTAAGTGGTCTTATAAGTGCATGAGCTTCTGAAAGGCTTAATGCACTTGGTTTTCCCAAGTCAGACAAAAGGTCCAAGACTTTCAACTTGACCCACTCTGGGCGGCTCTGGAGGTCATACATGTAAGCTGCATATTGCTCTAGGAAAAGCAGGGAGCTCTTTGCCCAGAGAGAACAATTTCAGAGAGAAAATCAAAACACCTTGCTTACTTCCTGCACTGCCAGAAGCCATCTCCACAGAAACAGGAAGAAACAGGTCATTATTTCCTATGGATCCTCTGCTTGATGTTCATCTTCTGCCCCTTCTTCTTGTGCTTCTGCAGAGCCGAATTCGCAGGATGTGGAATGACACAGTTCGAAAGCAATCAGAATCCTCCTTCATCACTGGTGATATAAACAGTTCAGCATCACTTAACAGAGGTAATTATGGACTTTTCAAATACATATAACCTTTGTAATTATGAAGAATCTAAACAGCAATGCTTTGTTAACCTTGCAACATGTAGCATCTTGTTCCCTTGAATTAAAATGTTACCACAGAATGAAAGATCCATTGTGCACTGTATTTCATTAATAGAAAATACTTCTTTTAACTTTCTCTCAGTTCTTTAACATGGATATTAAATGTCGCTGAAAGTCAGTTGTAGAAGGAGTAGTGGCAATGAGGGAGAATAGTTTTGAGGTCAGGCTGCTGGTCATAGACATAAATAAAGATACCTGTCTTCTTAATGTTACTGCTATTGCTAAGACAAATATTGTCGAACTTAACAGCCATCCATGAAAGCTGTTGGTACATCCTGTTAAATGCTGAAGTCCAAGAGAAGGCTCCATGATGGAGAAAACCTGCTGCATAATGTGGAGTTATGCCATTTCCCCAGCATAGCCTTCCTGATACACTACAGATATCACCTATATGTAGTAATGTAATGAGGATGTTTTCAGCCAGGCTCAACACTGGATCTAAAATTAAACTTTTCCAAAATTGAAGAAACCAATGTTCCAAACTCTATTAAAAGACATGCCAGAATACTGAGGATTGGAAAAATATTCCTCTCAGGGAATGCTCCTTCCCCTCCCCCTCCCCCCCACACTCACCCATTGTGTCTTTTTCACTGCCACAACCACCACCATCGCTAGCTCTAGAAAACAACTTTCTCAAAGATTCTGGGAAGGTTAATTGGAGCAGCAATGAGGGTAAGTGTATGTTTGTGTGGGAGAATGAGGGTAAAAGTAGTGCTGAAAAACAGAGCTGAAATTGCCTATCAGATTTTGGCTACAGAGAAACTGCCATTGGGGAGGAGGAAAGGCAAAACAAGAGTCTTTGAGTATCACTTCGCATTGCCTTTTTTCCCTCTGAAAATCCCAAGAATGATACAAGATGATGGGTGTTAGTCTTCTGGGGGAAAATGAAAATAATGGCAGTTTTTTTAATGGTTTCCTCTACCCTTCTGGGGGTATGAGAACTAGACCCAGGAAAATAATGGCGTTTTTACTCATGCTTCAATAGTTGTAACAGAGGACAGATGGGTCTCTAACTTAAAACTATAGCCAGAAAACAAAAAACCTGAGGCTACCATAATTCTATTTCATGTTTGATATACTACCATATCCTTCCCCGGTCTTGCCTTTTCAAGGCTGAATTTACACAGTTCTTCCAAGTATTTTCCATTCATTCCAATGACTTTCCTGATTTCCCTTCTGTGACCTTGTTCTTTTTCTCAACTCTTCTTAAGCATGGTATCCAGAACATTATTAAAATCTTAAGAGCAGCTTAGTAGAATACAGGAAATAATAATCCTGTGATTCAGGAACCTTATTTCCCTTAATACAGCCTGTGTTTGCCTTTTATACTCCAATGTTATACTATAATTAATTATAACTGAAATTTCATGAACTTTTTCACAAAGCCAGTGATTCCCATTCCATGCTGACGTCTATTAATCCCTGCATTGTTTCCAACGTGTTTATATCACTGCATGATACCCTGCTCTAAAATTTTCCCAGGTAGATGCCATGCTCTTATCTTTAATTCCCCATATTCTCCTGGAGAAGAAACAATGATTGCCCTCCTTCAGTCATTTGGCTCTTTACCTGTTGTCCAAGATTTTTGAAAGATAATGGACAATACTTTGGCCAGACCGTCAGTCAGTGCCTTCTATATGTTAGGATATAGTTCATCTGTCCTCTGGTCTAAAGCTCATTCAAGCTTAGCAAGTGTTCCCTAGTTACAGGTGTATTAACCTCAGACTACAACCCTTCAGTATTCTCTTTATAATCACCTAATGGACCACAAACTACCTTATTGGAAAAGACTCAGACCAAATAGGAACTAACTTCCTTTGTTAGCTTATTCTGCCATGAATGTCTAACCACCATTGCTGTAAATTTATTAAAAATTGCTCAAATTCAAAATATTACAAGAGTAAGAAAGAAAACTTTGATGGAGATGAATGAAACCTTTAAAAAACCACAAGGAAAAAAACAAGCAAAAATTTGCAGAAGATGCTAAGATAGATACCTCCCTAATTTAAATGAGCATAAAAAGGAAATGAGGTATAGTCCAGTAAGATTTGAAAGATTGTTCTCAGCAGCACCAGACAGACGAGACCAAAACTAAACTGCATGTAACCACTTAATAAAAGTAGTCTTAACCTCATGTGAATTAGGAAGATGTCTGTGTTTAGAATGATTTTGCATTCACCATCTCTGCCCTGTCACCTTTTCATTAACTAACCAAATATAACTTTTCTATTACTTAAATTCTGAGCCATATACAATACATGCTCTTGGGACATTTATCTTTGTTACTGAAAGCATTTCTGATCATCTAGAGTAGCTGATCTAGTGAGAATCTATTTTCTGTAAGTTCACCAACTGAAATTAATATTTTCTTTCCCTAGCTTCCCTCAGCTGTGTCAGTCTTTCCCACAGCCTCAGTATCCTCCACATATATAAAGTTTTATTCCCCAGAATTCTCAGCAATGGCCAATCTAATGATGATTCTTATTCTCTTTCTTTCTCTCTTCTTTCATTCAGGAACTTAAATTAACATGCATAACATTCCCTCCTTCTGTTTTTTCCCTACAATGTAAGAGAGACAACTAGACAAGTAAACTTCTGTGGCAATTAGCACACCAGAGCATGAGTTTTCCCATTCCTGGTCCAACACCTTAATTACTACACCATATTGTAGGAATTAAAGTTTACATTTCAGGAGATTGCCCAAATTAGGAAGACTGAATTAGATAATTTTCCTTGGTCTAGGACTCTGCACTAATAACAGACACATGACTTGGGTACCATAATAGAAGTTCTTTCCAAGGTAAGAAAAACACTAATATCTGAGCAGCTGCATGTCATCTTGCCTAAGTGCAATGTTTCCTCAATAAGAGAGTAAGATAACAATGAGATAATAAGAGGCATATACTTTTCCTGAAGATAATGTGAAAATGGCTTGCTATTGCCTTCTTCTGAGGTGTTTCTTTGATTCTCTGGTCTATCCTACAGCCCTGGGATTCCTGCATGGTCCCACCTCCAAGTATTAACCAGGTCAGTCAGGCCCAGTTTCTAAGCCCAGATACAATAAGTGAGGTATATTTTTCATAAACAATACCCACAACATCAAGAGATTGAAGACACTGAATTATTCTGCAGGATTATCATTTATATTATCACTTTTCCTTTCCTTGCAAGTATAACCATAAGAAGGAGGAACAAACTAACACTCTCTCAATCACCATCTGACCTTTTGCAATATGTCTGTTCCCATAAGAGAGCACCTATTATCTGTTTGAACTTGCAGAGCAACTTTGAAAAAAATATTTCAGCTATTGAGGAACTCAGAAGAAGCATTATTGTTTAAAAGAAAGGTCTCACTTTAAAATATTACAAACTCCCCCCCCCTTTTTTTGCCAAACAACTTATTGCCCAATTGCAGCTATGCCCACAAGGTTGAAAAGAGGTTTTAATTTTCTCCCACTCATCTTGCTAGACATACCAGCAGCATCAAAACCATACCTGTTTCCCAGTTAGCCTGTCAACCTTACTTAAAATGTAAACTCCTGCCCCCCTCAGATGAGAAATAACATTTCAAGTAAGTATTCTTACAGCAGTGCTAGGAGAAACAAATTCTTATCATCCAGGAACCCTATCTGAACAATTCTGCTAAAAAGAAATAGTAAATGTTCACGTTAAAGTGCAGAGATTCCTTTAGTTAATTTATGTTTCAAAATGTAATAGAAGCAAATTCAGAGTACTTTTTTTAAAAAAAAAAAAGTGTAAATATTGAGGGCAACATTAATTACTGCCTTTTAAAAAGCTTTCTCCCCAGCTAAATGCAGACAAAGCACTTGTAAGCTATGGATCATCAACACTCTCATCTTGACTTGTCTTGCTGGGAGCCCTCATTGCTTTAATCCCAGCTCATGGTTTTAAATAAATTATTTGGCAGCATCTATCAGCAAAAGATGCCACATTTAGGAAGCAGACAAACAGCAGAAGAAAACCTGCAGCAGCTTCTGATCCTGAGAATATGGAACAAGGAAGACATAAATATTTTTAGGCTTAAATACTGTAAGTTCTATGACATGCCAGTAACTTAGCTGTCCTCTGCAAAAACAAATAAAATGCAGGGCCTTCTGATTTTCTAATCCAGTTGCGTTTTTTTCCAGCTTTTAACTGCTATTTTTAAAATGTTGACATGTTTCAAATATTGTTTTCCTTCTTGAGTCATCTCAAGATCTTTCAATTTATTAAATTTGTTAGGGCCACCCACTTCATTAGATATTAGGTGATTTTATCTGTTTCCAAGATCAGTTGTTTTCCAATGACTCAAACCTCCATGTAGTAGACATAAATTTATATTGGTAACGCCTATACAATATCCAGTTCTGTTGCAGACCCATAGGTGATAGTATTTGGTAATATCTGAAAGAAACAGTGAGCAGGGATGGCAGGGGGGGGGGGGGGGAGGTGGTGGAATTCTGTCAGGAGCAGTCGCATTCTTGGCCCTCTGCTTGGGGGGGGGGGAGTTAAATGGCTTTTAGAAACCTCATTGCCCCCAAAGAAAGCCTAGAACTGGGTATGTTGATCATTCTCATGATTTGGGTACCTGTTCACCCTCATTTATGGCAAAGAGGGGGATTTTTTCCATAATGTAATCCTACTGGTAGGGAGCAGAGAGCAAACTGCAGGCACATTCACCTGAAAACCTCTTGTTTTTCTGTCCTCTATCAAGCCCAACGCAGGGAAAATTGTGTGCAATGTATAATTATCCTATTTCCTTCCTTACCTATTTTCCTTCACCTACTGTATGTTCTCTCCTTTTCTCTACCCTGCAGATTCCCTTCCCCTTTAAAGCCCTGAATTCTGTCTGATCACTTATTTCATTTTTTATTTGCTGCTCCCCTCCTTATCATCTA